GAGGAGGAGAGGGTTCAAAAAAGAGTTTAGTCTCTGTAATGTTTTCAGTTTCCATAAGAAGAATCCATTTATGGAATTCAAAGTGGATGTATTTTGTATTAAAAGGTAGTAGTAAAAAACAGCTCAAGGAGGGATGGAATGTTCTGGGCTTGCACTCTCTTTGGGATCGCTTAAGATTTTTCAAGTCAAGCCATGGACCATCTGTTGCCTAGTGAAAATGGTGGCGTGGGGATTTGGGAGACATGTCCCCACCTGGTGTCCCCATCTGGCTGCATGACCTTGGGAGGGTCCCATCCCCTTTCCTGACCTCAATGTCCTCATCTGCCCAATGGGATTCAGATTTTTTGTTACCCCGGGATGTGGGAGGATGAATGAGGGCAGGAGGAGAATCACATGAATGCAAGGGATTATTCTCTACATCAGGGGAGGAGACAGGGTGGGAGCCTCTCTTCCACCCGCCAAGCCCACAAGGGTGCAAAGGAAGTGGAGGGAGGAGCTGGGGACCACCCAGGCGAGCACACAGCCCATCTGCAGGACAGGAGCATGTTGTCAGCAGCTGAGAGGCCCAGCCAGAGCTGATAGGGCAGCCACCCAGGCAGCTTGGAGAATCCAGACATTAAAGGGGTTCTCTCACTGCTCTCAGTGCAGCTCCAGCCCTGTCGCCTCCCCAAGTTCCCATTTTCGCCTCCCACCCTCAACACACACACATATCTCAGGGGACTGTACTGCACTTGCCCCTCTTCACCCATCCTATCACCAGAGCCACAGGGGGCTTGCACAAGGTAAACCCAATCATATCTGTGCCTGCTCAGCACCCTCCAGCAGCTTCCCAGGATCTGAGAACAAAACCCAGTCCCCTTACTTTAGTGGATAAGGCATTATCCCAGCCCTCACCATTAAGAGCCTGGCCTCAGAATCTGCCTTACGTTGAATTCTGACCCTTCTCCTCATTCATTCATTCAAAATTGTTTAGCAAGCACCTACTGTGGGCCAGGTGCTGTTCTAGACATTTGGGAGACATCAGTGAAGAAATGAATGAAAGATTCCTGCCCTCAAGGAGCCTCCCTTCTAGCAGAGGGAGATTAACGATAATCATAAGTAAATCATATGGCATGCTGGGAGGTGACAAAAGTGATGATAGAAAGAAGAAAAACTAGAGCAGAGGAAGTGGATCAGGAGTAGTGGGAGGGGCAGGGGCAGGAGTTGCATTTTTAAACATGTGGTCAGGGCAGGCTCCATTAAGAAGGTGCCACTTAAGAAAAGACTGGGCCAGGCGTGGTGATCCACACCTGTAATCCCAGCACTTTGGGAGGCTGAGGCAGGTGGATCACCTGAAGTCAGGAGTTTGAGACCAGCCTGGCCAACATGGTGGGACCCCCATCTTTACTAAAAATATTACAACAATTAGCTGGGCATGGTGGTGCACGCCTGTAGTCCCAGCTACTCAAGAGGCTGAGGCAGGAGAATCACTTGAACCTGAGAGGCGGAGGTTGCAGTAAGCCAAGATCGTGCCACTGCACTCCAGCCTGGGTAACAGAGTACGACTCCATCTCAAAAAAGAAAAAAGAAAAGACTGGGAGGAGGTGAGGGAAGGAACCATGTAGATGTCAGGGAAAAGTGCAGGCTGAGGCAGTAGCCAGTGCAAAGGCCCTGAGGCAGGACCATGCCTGGCTTGTTTGAGCAGTGGCAGGAAGGTGGGTGATGACCCAGACAGGGGGACACTTTTCCAGTGAACAAGACAGACAAGGTGTCTGCCCTGAGGAGATCATCACTACAGAGCGAGGTGTTTAGAGAACAAAGGTGGTGTGGGAAGGGCAGAGACGAGGGAAGTCTAAAAACTGGGGGCCCAGAAAGGACTCTTGAGAGGAGGTAACCCCAAGCTGAGGAGTGGGAAATATGGAATAAAGGCATGGGAGAAAATTACTCCAGACTGATGAGGGAGTGTGTGCAAGGCCGTGAGAATCCCACCACTAGTCACCCTCCCCACTGCTGTCCCCTGCTGTGGTGGCCACCCTCTCCTACCTGGATGATTATAGCAGCCTCCTCTTGGGTCTCCCATAGAGGGGTAAAGAAGCTGGAGTGTGCAGTGACTAACGCCTCTCTTTTCTTGGTAGGAGTTCACACTCATGGATATTAACTCACTGCCTGCCCCTCTCAGACTGCATCCATGGGCAGAGAGAAGCAGGAGGCCACGGGCATGTGCAGCAGTGTCTGCAGGAGACCTCGGGGGACGCCCTCATGGGTTTTGGATGGGGCACTGCCAGCACCTTCTACAGCCCTGCGTGCTCAGTGCCTCCTTCCCTCTGTCCTACCCTCTCCCTCCGGCTCAATTTATTCAAATACTCTGGCTGTTCCCTCTGCCTGGAAGGCTCTTCCCCTAGATATCCACGTGGCTCACCCCCTCATCTCCTCCACACTGCCGTTCAAATGCCGTCTCCTCAGAGACACCCTCTCTGACCATCTTATCTCAAATAGCCTCTCCATTATCACCTTGTCCTGTGCTAGCTTTGCTTTTCGTTTTTCTCCTTTCCCTTCCCTTCCCCTCCCTCTCTCCCTCCCTCCCTTCCTTCCTTCCTTTTTCTTTATTTTTCTTTCTCCCTCTTCCTTTTCTTTTTTAGAGAAAGAAAAGACTCTGTCATCCGGGTTGGGATACAGTGGCATGATTGTAGCTCACTGCAGCCTTGAACTCCTGGGCTCAAGTGATCCTCCCACTTCAGCCTCCTGAGTAACTGAGACAACGGCCGCATGCCACCACATCTGGCTAGTTTTATTTTTATTTTTTGGTGAGGAAGGGGGTCTTGCTATGTTGCCCAGGCTAGTCTCGAACTCCTGAGTTCAAGTGATTCTCCGCTTTGGCCTCCCAAAGTGCTGGGATTACAGGTGTGAGCCGCCACTTCAGGCTGCTATTTTTATCTTTTGTAGCACTTTTCACCACCTGACATATGATATATTTACTTGTTTGTATGTCGACTGTTTCTCTCACCAGACTGGGAGATTCCTGAGGGCAGGGACCATGTCCAGTTTTGCTCATCATAGGCTATCACAGGGCCTGGGAAGTTGATAAATATTTGTGAAATAAATGGTCCTGAAACTGAAGTTCTCTCCAAGAGTCTTTCTGGGTCTGACCAGTTCAAAATCTTGGAAATGACTGATTCCCCTCCCCAACATTTCCAGTGGCCAGGGCTGGCCTCTAAGGGCCAGTCACCGCCAAAAAGCTGCTAATGTGGGCACCTCCCTCAGCCCCTCGCCATCCAGGCCCATCTGGTAGAGGTCAAGGGTCAACCTGGTCCAGGCCTCTGTGGGTCCCAAGGTAGAGAAGACCCAGTGCTGGGGTCCAGGCCGAGGGATGCCTGGTGAGCCCCATTTCTCCTTTGGCAAACATCCGCCTTTCCTTCTCAGGGCCTGTGTCTGCATTTCTGAACCAGAAGGTGTTTATACAAAACATCCTGGGTTTGGCGACAAATTCACCCTCAGTGAGGAATCCTTAATGAATCTCCCTCCTTCCCACACCAGGTGGCGGCAGGAAAAATTAGCTCTGCCTCTGGTAGTTGAAGGCAGCCAAAGCCTAGGCAACGCAGAGCTGCTGCTGGGGCTTCTGGGGCCACAATTTCAGCGTTCAGAAATAGCATGGACACCGGGCACTCCTGGCTCGCTGTGTGAGGAGGCACTGCCCTTCTCCTGGCCTCAGTCTGCAGCTGTGAAATGGGGCAGTACTAATTCCATGCATACAAAGGCTGCTTGGACAAGTAAGGCAAGGGGTGTGAAGGGGCTTGGTTACAAGAGGTTGAAAGGAGAGAGTAAAAAGCTGGAATGCGGGGGGGGGGGGGGGGGGGGGGGGGGGGGGGGAGGGGGCAAGAGATCAGAGTGCTAGCATCAGTCCTGCTCTTCAGACTTTTCATTGTCCTTTCCCAGCGCCTTTTACAGCCCTGTGTGCTCAATGCCTCTTTCCCCTCTGACCTCCTGCCTATGCCTCTTTCCCCTCTGACCTCCTGCCTGCTTGCCCCACCCATTCTGTTCCACACACACTGGCTGTTCCCTCTGCCCGGAACACTCTTCTCCTAGACATCCGCATGGCTCACTCCTCATCTTCTTTTCAAAGTCCTTGCCTCTCTCTGAGGCTTGTTTTTTCCAGCTATACAATGAGGAGTTTGGGGGTGAAGACCTCGTGGGAACCTTCCAGTTCTGATGGCAACCATTTTCCGTCTGCCTGCCTCCTCTGGGAAGTCCTCCCAATCCTACGACCCATGCCCATTTGCTTTTCTGAACTAGCATTTCATTGCTTACTGCCCATAGTTTTCAAAAGCGCAGTCATCATAGTACACTGCAGCCTCCACTCCCCAGGCTCAGGTGCTCCTCCCACCTCAGCCTCCTGAATAGCTGGGACCAACAGGCATGCCCCACTGCGCCCAGCTAATTTTTTTTTTCTTTGTATTTTTAGTAGAAACGGTATTTTACCGTGTTACCCAAGCTGGTCTCTAACTCCTGGGCTTAAGTGAACCCTGCCTTGGCCTTCCAAAGTGCTGGGATTACAGGTGTGAGCCACTGCGCCCAGCCGATTCCTGCTTCCTTCCCATCCTGTGAAGAGACACTGAGGAGGATTTTTATTCACACCCTTTTTATAAATTAGAAACTGAAAGTGTCAGAGATTAAACATTAATCACACTGCCACATGGGCCTTCTTGGTGTTTCTTAGGGGAAGAATGATATTTCCTAGGTCCTAATCACGACGTGCCATGGTATATAACTGTTTTGCCATTAATTGTCGGTGTTTACCACTAGGATGAAGTTCCATGAGGGCAGGGATTTTGCTGTGTTCACTGCTGCATCCCAAGTCCCTAAAACTGCTTGGCGCATAGTAAGTGCTCAAGAAACATGAACCGAGGGAGGAAGGGGTCAAAAGCAGCCCGCCGACTGAGCTCTCCGAGCCTGCAGAGGGCGCTCCAGCCCCGCCCCCTAAAGCTAGACCCCGCCTCTCACGGCCGCTGACGCACGTGCGTTAGAGCCTGCGCGCCACCGTTCTTTTAAATGCGCAGGCGCTCCGGAAATCCCGTGAGAGCGGCGCATGCGCAGCGGAGGCCGACGCGGCACCCCAGTGGAGTGAGAGAAGGGTCGCGCGAGAGTCGTAGGTGGAGTTGGTGGGCGCTATGCTGTCACCCGAGGCTGAGCGAGTACTGCGATACTTGGTAGAGGTTGAGGAGCTCGCCGAAGAGGTGCTGGCGGACAAGCGGCAGGTGAGAGGCCCGTCCGCGGCTCTGGGGCCCGGCGGCTGGCGCCGTCGGAAAGCGCGCGGGGTTGCGGGGAGTTAACCGGGACAGGCGGTTAACTATCCCGAGGCAACAGATGTGGCCCAAGAAATTTTCGGCCGCTACTAAGTGAGCACCTGCGCAGTGCTGGGTATTCCTCTTCCTTCATCCTCTCTCTGCCTCTTACCGTGCTCTCCGGATCCCGACCCATCGCTCTCTGGGCCGTTTCCCTGAGCACCTGTTTCAAAATGCACTTCCCGGCCCCCTGAGTCTCTTAGGGGAGAGGAGGAACCGAAAAGAGGCCTGGGGGAGCCTTGTGACCGGCCAGGGATGGGGACGTCGGTTAAGGTGGTGCCCTGTTTATGGGGTGCCTTGTGGGGAGTTTGGGTCAGGGTCTAATTTAAGTGCCAGGTTTTTGAAGGGAGTTCCTGGGGGAAGGAGGGTGACGTCATTGGATTTACGTTTTAAATGGATCCCTCTGGTTGCCGGGTGGAATACACAATATAGGCGGACAAGGGTGGAGGCAGGGAGATGGGTGAAGGGTCATTGCTATGGTCCAGACCAGAGATGGATTTGGACTAGGTAGTGGTGGTGGAGAGAAGTAAATGGGTCAGAAATGTATTTTGGAGACAGACTCAGTAGGCCGTGATAGCGGCTGTGTAAAGGGGTGAGGGAGCCGGGGGAGTCATGACTCCCTCTCATCCCTAGTTAGAAAGCTCAGGTATTTACTGAGAAGGGGAAAACTTGGGCAAGAGCCTGTCAAATTAAAGGCTGGATCCGGGTGTGCTGGATGAGACTAATGAGAGCAGTTAACGATTATCAGCTGCTTAGTATGTGCCAGGTACTGTATTAAGTCACTCAATTGCGAGCTCAATAACCTGTGAGGTAGGTACTGTTGGTAGCTCCATTTTGCCGAGGAGTAAATAGAAGGTGACATTACACAGCTTGAAGCAGACAGCAGGATTCGAACCTGGGTATTCCAGCTCCAGAACTAGCACTCTCGTGCAGCATACTGTACTACTGCCTCACTTCCTTAGTAACTGTTGTGGTGGTACCACTGTCTCAGTGCCCCCACTTCTGCTGTTCCAATCTAGTATTGTTGGGTTTCTCATATTACTAGGTCAGAACCAGCTGGAGAAGTTTGTCCAAAAATAGACATCAGGCCTGCTTAATCAGTGTGTAGGTGAAGGGTTTCCACTCCCCTGGTGATTCTCATAGGCCCTAAGGTTTGAATCAGTAGTACAGAATTTCCCTATTAGCACATGGATTCCTAGCATCTTCTCTGGGGAGAGGGCAATTGCACAAAGCATTGTCTTTAAGGACCAGGAAGCTGAGTGAGAGAAGAAATACATTCACACATCAATCCATTTTAGGTAGGACATTGGAAATAACTCGGGAATAATGCATTGTCTCTGCAGCCCTTGTCTGAAGTGACAGCTTGGGGCAAGAGATAACAGTTCCCTCCTGTCCCCGTGGTTTTCAGATTGTGGACCTGGACACTAAAAGGAATCAGAATCGAGAGGGCTTGAGGGCCCTGCAGAAGGATCTCAGCCTCTCTGGTAAGTTGAAATTTTCTCAATGCAGCCCTGGAGGCCTCTTCTGTTTTCCTTTAAGGCCTTTACTTTGCCGTGATAGAGATCAGGCAGGAGGCCACAGCTGTGTAACAGCCTTGTGGAAAATTGAAACAGTCTGTGGAGATGGGGGAGCAAGTTTTGCAGTTCTGGCACAGACTGTGGTTCAGGATTTCGGCTGCTCAGTGACAGGTCGTTGGCTCCTGGCTCATCGACAATGGCAGACACTGAGAGAGTGCTGAGGGTGTAAAAAAGTGATGGTTCCTGGGCTTGTGCTTTACAGATGAGGAAAACAACATAAAATGCATTATTGAAAATTGTAAGAAAGCCAAAGACGGAATTGGACTTGGGGTGGGTATTGAGAATATATATCCAGAAGAATCGGACCCTTTAGATGAGGCCAAGTGGCTGTGGCAGAGGAAGCAAATGGGGAGGGTAAGTATGGCTGGAGAGAGAGGCAGAGACCAGGCCATAATGAAAGGCCTTAGGGGCTGAGGGAGGAAGTTTACATTTTGTTGAAAGTGCACTGGAATATGCAGAATCTTCCAGTTGCTTCTCATCTCACCCGAGTAAAATCCAGAGGTTCTACAAGACTGAGTAATCCAGCCCCCATGAGTCCATGAGTGTGTCAATATCATCTCTACTCTCCCCCTCATTTATGACTTCACACGGGTCTCTTTGGTGGTTTTTTTGGAGACAGAGTCTTGCTCTGTCACCCAGGCTGGGGTGTAGTGGCATGACCCTGGCTCACTGCAACCTCTGTTTCCAGGGTTCAAGTGATTCTCATGCCTCAGCCTCCTGAGTAGCTGGGATTACAGGCGTGTGCCACCACACCCAGCTAATTTTTGTATTTTTAATAGATGCAGGGTTTTGCCATGTTGGCCAGGCCAGTCTTGAACGCCTGTCCTCAAGTGATCGCCTGCCTTCGCCTCCCAAAGTGCTGGATTACAGGCGTGAGCCACTGTACCCCCCCCTTGCTGTTCCGAACACCCTAAGCACACTACTGATCTTTGCTGTTCCTGTTTCCTTTGTTTGGCTCACTCTTTTCCCCAGATGTCTGCAGGGCTCACATTCTCACTTTCCTTGAGTCTCTATGTAGATATCACATAATCTTAGAAAGGCCTTCTTGGACTACCTGGTATGAGTAACAAGTTCCTCCCCTACTCTGGCATTCCCTAGCCATCTTAGCCTGCTTTAGTTTTCTCTACAGCCCTTAATCAAGGTCTGACAAACCGTATCTGTTTCTTCTCTCTCCTCCACTATAACAAGCTCCAAGAGGGCAGGAACTTTGTCTTGCTCTGCTGTGTTCTCTGCATCTAAAACAATGCCTGGCCGATAATAGGTACTGAAAAACAAATTGCTGAAGGAATTACCATTTGCTCTTTCAGAAGATGTGATGGTTTGCTTCGGGAGCATGTTTATCAAGATGCCTCATCCTGAAACAAAGGAAATGATTGAAAAAGGTAAGGCCTCCTGGGGATGGGTCAGGGGTGTGCTGCCTCTCACACCAGCTTTGGTCTTAACCCAGAACAGGGAGTCAGGCTTCAGGCTTCTCCTCTTGAGGAGAGGCTGCTCTGTTACAGGGTTCAGACTGCTGTGGGTCACTTCCTCATCTCTAAGATGGGGATGCATCTGTGGCATAGTTGTGAAGTTGAGATAAAACAATATGTGTGCCTAGCATAGTGCATGCTTATTAGTGAGGAATCAGTTGGGCCGCAAATAACAAAACCCAACAAATAGAGGCTCAAGGAGATACACTTCTTTTACTCTTGTGAAAGAAATTGTCCAGAGGTATGTAGTCCAGTCCTGGCATAGCTGCCCAGCAGTGGCACCTTAGCATATTCTCCTGGTGGTTGATTGTTGCAAGCCTCATGTCCTCGTGCCAGGCTGGAGGAAAGAGAGAAGGCTTTCACACATATAGCTTTGCCTTCTATTTTGGAAGTAAGACCATCTCCTCAGGGACTTCTGCCAAGATTCATTGGCTAGAACTAGGTCACATGGTCACCCATAGCTGCAAGGGAGCCTGGGAGAGTGAGCTTTTCTTTTTCATGTGCCCTGCAATATAGACTGGGTTGAAAATGGAACCTCTAGGGTCTGCCGTAGCCTGGGCACTTAGTGTACTCAATTTCCACAACCATAATCTGGAAGCTCTTTGGAAAAGCATCTTAAAAGCAAGAGTCAGGCTACAAATGGATTCTTGGCTAGAAAAAGAACAGGCTACACATACTTTTTCTTCTATAACCTTGAAAATGGCCAAAAAGACAAGCAAGGTTGCCTCAGTCCCTTAAGATAGGGCGTCTTCATACCTCATGAAATAAAATTTTTTTTTCTCCTTGAGACAGTCTTGCTCTGTTGCCCAGGCTGGAGTGCCATGGCGCTTTGTTGGCTCACTGCAAACTCCACCTCCCAGGCACAAGCAATTCTCTTGTCTCATCCTCCTGATTAGCTAGAATTACAGGCACATGCCACCATGCCTGGCTAATTTTTGTTTTTTTAGTAAAGATGGAATTTCACTATGTTGGCCAAGCTGGTCTCTAATCGGGTGATCCACCCACTTTGGCCTCCCAAAGTGCTGGGATTACATGCCTGTTCCCAGCCAATGACATAAAACTGCTAACAGAGGAAGCTGGAGAAGTTTCCAGCTGTTGTGTTGAAAAAATACACTAATATTATAGTTAGAAAATGAAACTGCCTTTGATGGTGAGCTGGAGAGTAGCTTTGAGAGGGGTCCCTTGCCTGGGTTCAGGATCTTGTTGACTCTTTTGGTCCCCAAATGTGATCTTTTCACTGTACCTAGAGGAGTTCTGGGACATCATCAGGTTTCTTGGGGATCAGCATAGGCTAAACAAGCTCATGGACACTGGGGTTACTCATTGACAATGAGAAACAGAACCAGGTTATAAGGCTTGGCCATTCAGCATTTCTCCCCCCAGAAGGAGTCTATGGGGAAGACAGACTAGCCAGAGTGTCACTGGTGAGCAGGTGGAATTGGCTGGGTGACTTCAGTCAATTGGTCAGTCAAGCTTTGATAGCCGCCTGTCATCACACTGACTCTTCTCAGGGCAGTCCATGGCACTAGGAGACGCTTTTCTCTTCACAGTGGCTAATTAAGCTTGACCATTAGGCTTGCATGTCGATTGTTTACGTCACGTGTTTACACAATCATGTTTTTCTAAAACCCCCTCACCTTGATGGACTTGGGTTTGTAAAATTCCTTAGGCATCCATTTTGCAGCCATCTAGGGTGGGCTGGATCTAGAGATGCTTTATTTTGTTTATGCATTTGAATTGTACATAACGTCATTGTGGGAGGGTGGCCAAAATCTTCATGTTGCCTTCTCTATCTACTGGCCACCCCAAGGTACTTTGCATAATGCAAAACAGGGCAGTGTGAGAGTCAGGACTGCTGCGTCCTGGGCTCTCTTGAGTGGTCCTGAGCAGGTCATGGCCCTTCTAGCCTTTATCCTTCCTCAGTTGGTCTCTGATACCCGTTTTCCTTCCTGAAAGCTATACACTTTGCTGGGGAGAGGCTGGCAGCTCTACTCTTGGGTCCAGTCTGTCTGGTACGATCTTATCTTATGCTTGCCTCCCTCTTTTTTTCAGATCAAGATCATCTGGATAAAGAAATAGAAAAACTCCGGAAACAACTTAAAGTGAAGGTCAACCGCCTTTTTGAAGCCCAAGGTATTGGCTTAGCAGGGACTGGAGACTAGGAGGGGAGAGAGTCATCAGCATGGACTTTGAAGGGCAGGGATGAGAAGCCCGACCCTCAGAGGTGGGCATTGGCCGAGGCAGCCTGTGAGTGGCCCTGGAGGTGTGTGCAGTGGTTGGTTATAGCTGCCAGGGGACAGAATGGACAGGGGATTTAAAGAGAGTCCTGCTCCTGTCACAGCTTCCTTTCCAGGTCCCAGGAACCGCTTAGGGTGATCTCACGTTATATGTCAGGGCATGGCATGGGGATCAGATAGCTCTGACTGAGGAAATTCAGAAGTCCAGTGAGGTGATTGAGGTCAGAGCTGAAATTCCTGATAAACCCAGGCACTCCAGATTTGTCCCAGGTCTTGGAAAAACCTGGATCTCTTTGGGCAGCAGAGTCATGACTTTGCAGGCTCTTGGTGACACAGGAGTGGTGGTGATGCCTCATCCAGTATGTTGCAGAATTGGAGGCCCATCCCTGCCAGACCTCCAGGCCGAGTTTGGCAGCGTTAGTGCAGTGTCAGCCCCTTTCCTGGGCCTGGCTCCAGAGCCAGCAGGAGGCCCGACATGCTGATGGATCATCTTCTCTCCTAGGCAAACCAGAGCTGAAGGGTTTTAACTTGAACCCCCTCAACCAAGATGAGCTTAAAGCTCTCAAGGTCATCTTGAAAGGATGAGACTCAAGAACCAAGATGGGGGACCAGTGACCAGCAACCCCCACAGGGTCATGGAGGACCCTTCAACCTTGATACCTGTAAGGACAGGATCTGCCCTGTAAGGGGACAGACATCAGGAATCTGGCCATGAAAACCTCGTTGTGTAGTGCTTGGCTGCTCTGTGACAGGAGGGAACCCTCAGCCTGTCTGGCTGCTAGACCTGTACACCAGGGCACAGTGCACACAAGACCTATTGATGGGCCCTGGCAGCCACCAGTGGGTGTGTGGAGCCATGGCTGTGGGGGTGTGTGAATGACTGCAGCAGGCACTTCTCAACAATGGCCTGCTGTAAGGACCCTGAGCAGGGAAGGAGGGAGGGAGAGGGAAGAGTGGAGCTTCATTCCAGCATTCATCTCAGAAGGGAGAGAGGTTTTCAGGCAGGTGCCATGAGATGGGAATAAAGCAGGAGGCTTTTGGGTGGATGCTGAATGAAGAACAGAATCTTGATGCTTTGTGGCTTACCACAGCCACCTGTGTGTCTGCCCCACAGATGGCTGCCAGCTCCATTTCTGCCCTTTTTCCCTGCTTGATTCCAAGAGTAGGTGCTGCCTAGCAGCCCTTTGTGGCCACTCTTTCATCAGGAGGGCCCTGCAGAGTCCTGCACCAGGCCTGCGTGAGTAGGTACTCCTCCTGCCTTGTGTCACATGTCAAGAGTGCCCCTCCACCCCCTCTGAAAGTGGGGCCTGGCCAGTGCTGCTTAGTACTGTCTGCCTTCAGTGGTATGAATTGCCGTGAAGTCAGAACTCGTGTGTTCATTAAGGGCTCAATAAAGGTTGGCTGAATGAATAAATAACAGCAACTAGTCTTTATTTGCCTCATCTAGTCCTTCACTAAGGGCACGCTGCTCCATTTAGAATACCACCTATGAATGTGGTTCTTACCTTCGGTTCTTACCTTGAAATGAACCTGTGGTTTAACAGGCAGGTGACAACAAATGGCAGCATGGCAGGGGCACACCTCTCCTGGTCCCCTCGCTCCTTTGCTTGGGCTCATGGTTACGTAGAAACAGGCTGTCATGGCTAGTTCTTACATTTTTTTCAAAAGAAGCTAGACATTCAGGTTGTGAAGTTGATTAGAAATTACTGTGTGTTTTCCCTGTAATCTCTTTAAGAAGTAGGCGGGTGGAATTGGAAACCAACTACATCCATCCACAGGGGACTAGTTAAAGGAATCAGTAGCTCCAGGTAGGGGAGTACCATACAACTACAATCAAGAATAAGGAACAAGCTGCAAGACACATCAAGTGAGAAGAGCAAGGGGAAGGTAGGCGTCTTAGAAGCTAATAATGTGGCCGGGCGCGGTGGCTCAAGCCTGTAATCCCAGCACTTTGGGAGGCCGAGGCGGGTGGATCACGAGGTCAAGAGATCGAGACCATCTCGGTCAACATGGTGAAACCCCGTCTCTACTAAAAATAAAAAAATTAGCTGGGCATGGTGGCGCACGCCTCTAGTCCCAGCTACTCAGGAGGCTGAGGCAGGAGAATTGCCTGAACCCGGGAGGCGGAGGTTGCGGTGAGCCGAGATCGCGCCATTGCACTCCAGCCTGGGTAACAAGAGCGAAACTCCGTCTCAAAAAGAAAAAAAAGAAGCTAATAATGTGTGTGCAAACGCAATGTGATTCCCTCAGAACAGCACCTGCAGGGTTGGGGCACAGAGGTGGGAGGGGAGATGTCACCCTAAACTCTTTTGTAAATTTTGCATTTTAAACCATATGAATATAATGCTTATTTTAAAATGTAAAAGTAGGGAGTTGCAGAATTCACCTTGCTAGATGTTCTCCAATGTGACTGCCTGGTTCATAATTTCACCATTGGAAAATTGCCCCTTCCTGCCTGGCAGGGTGGGTGCTGGGCCAAAGAGAGCCAATCGCATTCCTTCTCCTGGAAGTAGGGAACCTGGAGCCCATGCCTGGGCCTGCCTGGGTTTGCCTCAGTCACAAGGATGGATGGGAGAAATCCTCATGCTCTGAAGGCAGAAGGTCCAGAGTAGCCTGGCTTTTGGCCTTCCTAAAGTCGGCTGGTTCATTTCTTGGATTTGCCAGTATTTTTTTTTCCAAAAATCTTCCCTTTTGGCTTACCCAAGGCAGTTGCATTCCACCATGTGCAGCCAGAGAAACTACTCTGAAGCAGGGTGAGTGGTAGAGGGAGTGAGTGAATCCCCCCGGAGCAGTTCAGCCCCAACTCGTTGCAACCCTCTTAAGCCAAGAGGAGGCTTAGGAATGTAGGATGTGAAAATGCAGAGGTTTTTACTCACTGTCATCTCCCAGGCTGTATTGCCCATGAGCCCAAGGTCTTCTGGTTTCTGGCTCAGCTCCCAATCTCAAACAAGGTGAAGAGAAGCACTTAAGTCACTCCTCTGACTTAGATAAATGCGCCTTTGCAGACACTCTTGCTAAGCTCTGCCTTCCTGGTCTGTCTTGTCCGAGAAATGGGGATATTCTGGCCCACTGTTTTTCAGATGATGGTCAGGGTATTGCAAGGAGAGGCTGTGTTTAGGGCTCAGTACTTCCCCAGATCCCCAATAAATACATCATCTACTGCTCGCTTTGCAAGCACAGCTTAAAGACAAGTTCCTTAACCTCCAAACTCTAGCTCCTAAAGGACCTTTTCAACATTGACTTGAGAGGCATCCAAATGTCAAAGCCAGGAGGACTTGGCTCCAGCCAACAGTATCCCCAGAGCCAGGCCTGGGGCCCAGTGACTCCAAGTATGGCTTGTGCTTATTTATTAGATATGATCTCTCAGGGGTAGCAGAACTGCTGTATTTGTTCTCTTCAGGCCCAGTTGCCGAGTCAGTCTGTCAAGGTTAAAACCCCTCCAGTCCCAGGGATTGGCTGTCTCGTGGTGCAAAGATGCCTGGGGACGGGCTGGAGGTATCCAAGGGGCCTAATTCAAGTAGGAAGCTGCAGCTGCTAAGCCAGCAAAGCTGGTGCCAGGCTGGAGGTAGGGAGGCGAGTGCTGTGAGGTGCTGGGATCTGGGAGTCGGGGGGAGGCCTGGGTGGTACCTGCCAAGGCTGATTTCCTTCTGGCAGCTGGGGATCAATTGGAAGCTTTCTTCTGGACTTGAAGGGAGCAGAAGAGCTGCCTCAGCTGTTTTTTCCGATCGTTGACGCAGCCTGGAAAGGAAGTGGGGTGTTGACTGGAATGACCTGTGCTTGGGAGAAATGGAGTGCCCCCACTCCCTGCTGGCAAGAGGGGACAGCAGGAATTGGGCAATCACCCACAGCCTGTGTTTTATACTCTGGCTCCATTCCTGAACTGACGTGGCCCTCAAGCAGATCATTTACCCTTTTCAGCCTCAGTCTTCTCATCTGTAAACCAGGATACTACTGCTCACCTTATGGAGTGAACATGAGGACTAGGAGCTTACCTCAAGCCAGGGACTGCTCCAGATGCTGAATGTGGATGGATTTGTTTTGCCCTCATGGGAATGATGTGTAGAAGAGAAAACGGGCTCGGAGAGGTTAAATCATTTGAACCCAGGCTACCTGGTGCCAGAGCCACACTCTTAACCACTACCCCACACTGCCGCTCCTCCTGGCTTTGCTCAGTGAAAATGCATTTAAAGCTAGCACAGTGCCTGGTACCTCAGAGCTGCCCAGTATTGTCAGCTTTCTTCCCTTACCCAACCCACGTACCAGGCACAGCGGGCTAAGAGATGAGTTTTCCCCACATGTGGCCCACAACCTCATGGAAGTATGTCCCAGGCAGTCCGTGCTGAAGCTGCCATGAGCTGCTGAGACGTTCTCCCAGGACATTCATGGTGCTACATGTTGGCTGTTTGCTCTCAGCTGATCCTTGAGGTGACTCTGTGGTCATTTAATCTCATGCCAGGTACATTGATGGCACTCAGAAATGCTGCTTGAATGACTGAATCTCTGTGGCCACTACTACTGACCTGGGACTGTTTCACATCCTCCCAAAACTTGTCCCTGCTTCCCAGGCACGCACTCAGCCATTCACTGAGCTGAGACCTTACTGTGCACATCCTGGTGATTTTCCAGAGTGAATTCCATGCAGCCCTAACTTAAACTGTATTTCGCTCATTCATAACTCCCAATTTTCATCCTGTGCAAACTTCTTGGAGTTCTAGGCTCATCTCTGAGTTATCTGCTGACCCTTTTCCCTGGATGTCCCTGAACCCTTCCCTAACTCAATTCATCAGTACTCTTCCTAGCCAGCTACCCTTGTGTTTATCACCATAGACCCAAACACCTGAAACAAATAGTTCTAGAGACTTGTAAAATCACTGGCTGTCCTAGCCCGGTCAACATAGCGAGACTTTGTCTCTATGGGAAAAACACCCACACACAAAATTAGCCAGGTGTGGTGTGTGCCTGTAGGCCTAGCTACTTGGGAGGCTGAGGCAGGAAGATTGCTTGAGCCTGGGAGTTTGAGGTTAGTTGCAGTGAGCTATGATCGCATACTGCACTCCATCCAGGGTGACACAGCAAGACGCTGTCTCTAAAAAAATAAACAGTGGCTCTCAACTTGGGCTGCATATTGGAATCACCTGGAAGCTTTAAAAGCTACTGATGCCCACACCAACCATAACTTTATCTGGCAGGCATCAGTAGTCTTTAAAGCTCCCAAGTGATTCCAATATGTGGCCATGGTAGAGAACCGCCGCTCTCCATCTTTGCTACTCAAATGGGGGGTCCAGGAACTAACGTGCATTGATATCTGAGATGCACTGTTAGCAAAGATGGCTGCAAAAATTCCATTCCTATATGCACATCTCTGTGCAACGTGACTTGGCTGCTCCTCTCATCAACAGGTGGAGTCTATTTTCTTACCTAGTGACTGGGCTAGACCAGAAAGTTGCTTTGACTGTAGCAGAATGACTTATGGGACCTTCTGAGTCTGGGACGCAAAAGGCTTTGCAGTGTTTTCTCGCCTTAGAACCTCGAGTCTACCACGTGAAGCCAGGGCTAGACTGTTGGAAGATGACTGGCCACGAGGAAAGAGAGGCCCAGCTGACAACCAGTATCAACTCCCCACACCTATGAATGAGGCTGTGGTAGGCCATCAAGTCTCAGTAAATCTGCCAGGTGCCTGCAGCCCTATAAGTGACCCCAGTAGAGACCTGAAGAAGCACCAGCAAATAAAGTAGTTGTTTTAAGCTGCTAGGTTTGGGAGGGCTTGTTACACAGCAATGGTTAATCAATAGAGCATCACACAGGAACTTAGAAATACCACATAGGCCCCACCCTAGAACTACAGAGTCACAATCTGTTTTAACAAGGTTTCCAGGTGATTGTATGCACATTAAATAAGCTTGAAGAGTGTTATTTAGTCATTCGAAGCCTTATACATTTAGAAAACTAAACAGCCCATAGAAAAATGGAAAAAGTATGGACAAAAGAAGAAATGCAAATACAAAAAAATGGAAACCTCACCAGTAATCAATGGAATGCACATAAAACAACAACGAGTCAGTATGTTTTGCCTTGCCAGTTGGCACAGATTTTTTTCTAAAAATTCAAATCTGGCAAATTCATATACTCTTTCTGGACAGCGATTTGGTTGAAATAAGCCCATCCCTTTGGCCCAATAATTCTACTTCTAGGAATCTGTCCTTAGGAAATGGCCAGAATTTCAGCCGAGCTTAATGTGAAAGGGTGTTCATCATGGTATTAGTTATAAAAAACATGCAATTGTGCTAAATGTCCAATCATAAGAAATTGGTTTAGTAAATTTTAGAATATGCACAAACTGAAATATTTTGCAGCCATATGGTAATTTTTTTTTAACTCTGCCAAGAGGCAGGAGAGTCTAGCGGTCAAGCACTCAGGTTTTGGAGCCAGGCAGATGGGAGTTTGCAGCGTGGCTCGCTGCTTCTGACCAAGACCTTCATTCAGCAAGTTACACAGCACCTGGAGATCATTTCCTCATCTGTAAAATTACAGTGAAAGCTGCTTAAAGATAAAATGAGATAATGTACATAAAAGATTTCATCTGCACTGGACCAAAAAGTGCATTCAAGATGGAGGCTCTTATTAATATGCTTGAATGAAAAATGCCACGTGGGAAAGTGGGATTCGAAACTCTAGCCCAATGCCAATTTTGTAAAAAAAAAGTATGAATATATGTATTTTTTAAGAACTGGAAGGAAATACACCAGATTGTTAAAGATGGTTATGTCTGGATGTTTTTTTAATTTCTTTCTTTAGTTTTCAAATATTCTACAATGAGTGAGAATACTTTTTTTATAATCAGGAAGAGTTTTCACTTTTTAAGAAACCAACTTTACAAATGAGGAACAGCTGTGTCACCCTTGCCCAAGGTGACACAGCTGGTAAGTTGCAGATTGAATTCAAACAATCTAACCACTATGCCAAGCTGCCTCCTAGAGTACCTGGTACCTCCCATGACCCATCCCTTGTGCCCAATCCCCACCTCACCCTACATACCGAGGTGTGTGTTGGTCACAAAGTTTCCCATTCCCGACAGGTCAGGAGGCCCCTCGTCTCTGCTAACCGGGCCATCATTCCACATGAGGTCAAAGCCCCCGACTCGCTTCTCCCTTCCCGTGAGCCTGGACAGGAAGGAGGCACATGGGATTAATGAAGGTGCACCTAGCGGAGGCCCTAAGACCCAAGTGGGGTCCCTGATCCCTCCCTGAGCCTCATTGATGTCCCTCCCATCAGAAGTCCTTTTTCCCAATCATTCATTGGCTGTTTCCCAGGCACCTATGTAAATCTCCGAGGGGCTTGTTCCCATTTTTCCCCCAAGGCTCCTCCTACTTGCTCTTGGTAACTTGTCCCTGTTTTTTTGTTTTCTGACGGAGTCTCTCTCTGTTGCCCAGGCTGGAGTGCAATAGCATGATCTCGGCTCCCTGCAACTTCTGCTTCCCAGGTTCAAGTGATTCTCCTGTCTCAGCCTCCCAAGTAGCTGGGACTACAGGTGCACACCACCACACCCAGCTAATTTTTTTTTTTCTTTTTTTCTCTGGTGAATTCTGCTTCACAATGATAATTTTGTATTTTTAATAGAGACAGGGTTTCACCATGTTGGCCAGGATGGTCTCAAACTCCTGACCTCCAGTGATCTGCCTGCCTCGGCCTCCCGAAGTGCTAGAATTACAGGCATGAGCCACTTTGTCTGGCCATGTGCCTCTATTTGTGATTTCTGGTTTAGTCTCCTTTCCTCCTCAGACCTTAAACTCCATAAAGGCAGGGACTGGTTCTGTCATGTTCCTTACTATGTCAGCAGGGTATGGCACAGGGCCTGGTACAGAGCAGGGCTCAAATATTTGTTGAATGAATAGGTGATGGTAGGAATAGTGGATACCTGAGGTTGCTGCTTGCTCAGCATCCATTTCACCTTCTTCCAGTCCAAGGGTACCTTTGAGAATCATTTACCTCTCCTTTACCAATGGCTCATGTGGGGTTGACCCCACTCCCTAGGAGGTGGGCACAAGAACTATGCCTGGTCAAGCAGAGTCACAATGAATGATTCAGCAATGGGCATGTATCCCAGTTCCCAGCAAGGAGAAGCTGCCCTCAAGCTTCTGCTGGAATAATTGGAGAAAACTGGGGAAAAGCTAATACATAGGAAAGAGGAAGAAGGGAGGGAGAGGAGGGAGAAAGGAACAGACAGACCAGCCACCACTGAGCACCTGGATCACCCATTCTCAAAGTAGCTCTGGGCTTGCTTTTTTCTATTGCACATTGTTATAATGATAGTCTTGTATTGAGCACTTACTATGAGCTAGGCACTAGATAGTAAATTATCTTTGTAAATTAACAACTCAGAGGTATTTCCTATTTTACAGATGAGGAAGCTGAGGCTCAGGAAGGTGATGTGACTAGTCCAGAGCCTCACAGTCAGGAGGATTCGAGGAAATCCTGCTGGACTGTCTCAGAAAGCTATAGTTGGCCCTGCTCTGCCCTGGAGAGGCCAAGTCCATGGCAGGACCTGGCCCTCCATGGACATCTCAGCTTCTCCATCTATAAAGTGATGAGGCAGGCCAGAGCCATCACTGAAGGCCACTCAGGCCCCAATGTTCTAAGCTCCACCTCTTCCTTGGTGGGAGCCCCAGTTGTCATGTACAAGGACATGTGATCAAGGCTACCCTCCCTCACCTTGCTTCCATGTCCACGACATGCAGGGTGTCTTCCAGGAGACAGGTCTTGAGTTCATAGTCTTCCTGGCTGCTGGCTGTCAGTGATGGGGATGCATTGACCTCTAGGAGCCACCTGGGGAGGGAGAGGAGTGGAGAGCCTTAGGGTTACTTGGTCCCTGGAGCCCCTAGGATTTCACTAAGTGGCTAGATGGATGCATGGACCCCACCCTCAGTTCAGTCCATGCTGCTCCCTCTACCTTTCTATTTTTCAAATTTTTTTTTTTTTTTTTTTTTTGGAGACGGAGTTTCGCTCTTGTTACCCAGGCTGGAGTCCAATGGCGCGATCTCGGCTCACCGCAACCTCCGCCTCCTGGGTTCAGGCAATTCTCCTGTCTCAGCCTCCTGAGTAGCTGGGATTACAGGCACGCGCCACCATGCCCAGCTAATTTTTTGTAGTTTTAATAGAGACGGGGTTTCACCATATTGACCAGGATGGTCTCGATCTCTTGACCTCGTGATCCACCCGCCTCGGCCTCCCAAAGTGCTGGGATTACAGGCTTGAGCCACCGCGCCCGGCCTTCAAATTATTTTTATAGAGATAGGGTCTTGCTAGGTTTCTCAGCTAGTCTCAAACTCCTGGCCTCAAGTGATCCTCCTGCTTCAGCCTCCCAAAGTGCTGGGATTACAGATGGGAGCCACTGTGCCCCGCCCCCTCCCCAACCACCCTTTCCCCTTCTTTTTTTTTTTTTTAGACAGAGTTTTGCTCTTATCGCCCAGGCTGGAGTGCAATGGCACAATCTTGGCTCACTGCAACCTCCACCTCTGAGGTTCAAGTGATTCTCCTGCCTCAGACTCCTGATAGCTGGGATTACAAGTGCCCACCACCATGCCCAGCTAATTTTTTTGTATTTTTAGTAGAGACAGGGTTTTACCATATTGGCCAGGCTGGTCTCAAACTCCTGACCTCAGGTGATCTGCCCACCTCGGCCTCCCAAAGTGCTGGGATTACAAGCAAGAGTCACCGTGCTGGCCACCTTTCCACTTTGAGGAAAGGTAACTCAAAAGTAGAAAGCTGGCATGGGAAGACTATGGTGCCTTCGTGGGGTTATGGTTTTCCCTTCTTCCAATACAGATGTGAATACAAGGAAAACTTTCCTTTCTTGGTGAAAATTTGCGCACTGTAGGTGGCAAGCACCCTGCTGTCAGGGGCTGGGAAGCGTGGGGAGGGGTGGGGACTGTGTGGAGCTGGCCCGGGCACTCCACGTCTAAAGTGGTGGCCGTGGCCAGCTCCAGGAGAGTGTTGTCCTGTGGGAATGTGAGCCCAGAATTTCAAGATCATCTGATTTTTCCAGAAAAGCCAAAAACAGTGATTTTTTTTTTTTTTTTTTTTTTTTTTTTTTTAAGGAGTCAGTATCTGGCTCACTCAGGCTAGAGAGCAGTGGTGCAATCTAAGCCCTCTGCAGCCTTGAACTCCTGGCCTCAAGTCATCCTCCTGCCTCGGCCTCCTGAGTAGTTGGCATTATCATTACAGGGGCTTGAGCCACTGTACTTGGTAATTCTGATTTTTATGTAAACATCTTCCAAATTTTAGAGCCTTTCAATAAATTAAAAACAAAAACAGTCTAAAGGCCAAATTCAAAGTATCTGCAGGCCAAAGCAGCCCAAAGACCTCCAGCTAGCCACCTCTTGTCTTGTTCAACCCCATCCTTCTCCAGACAGGAAGCTGGGGCCCAGAGAGGGAAGAGCTCAGCCCGCAGGTCAGTGGGAGACCAAGCCCCTTTCCACTATACAGCAAATTATCTTGGTAAATTACTCTTAACAACTTGGAGAGGTAGACATGGTGTTTCCCATTTTGCAAATGAAAAAACCAAGGCTCAGAGAGGTGACATACCCACCTGGGGTCCTGCACAGCCAGTCCTCTTGGACATGTAGAATTTTTGCCCACATGGAGGGGTACACCCAGAGTCATCTTACCACAACACTCAGGGCTGGACCCCTCTTGTCCAGGCCTAAGGACAGCGCTGAGGGCAATTGTGTAGGGGTCTCAGCAGGCCAGGTCACGATTAACTGAGGTCCCTCCCGCAACTTGACTACCCAGGCCCCAGGGCGAGTGGGTGCTCTAGCTCTTCCCATAGTCGCTGGTGTCCAAGCATGGGCGGAGCTTATTCCCCACCAGGTCCACCTTAATGCCAGCAGTCACATCCTGCTGCAGGGGCAAAGGAGAGAGACCTGCTGGTGCCCGGACCCTGTTTCCCTTGAGCGAGGGCCCCTCCTCCTGGCTTAGAAGGCCCCTCAACACTCATATGGTGACCCTGAATAGGGGGTTGGGTCCTGGAGCCAGCAGTGCTGGTGGGGAGCCACTCAGCCCAGGTCCTTGGACCCTGGGCCTGGCTTTGCCCTTGACCTGCTACATAACCTCAAGCTCCCTGACCCTTGCTGGGCTTCTGTGTCCTGTTGTATCGTGTGAGGCCATCATGGTGGTCCCTGCCAGGTCAGGCTTGTTCTAGTCATCAGCTCAATCTCCTCCAACGGGCACCATGGAAATGGATCAAAGTCTTGGCAGAGATCAACACTGTAACAATGTTCCATTATTCTTCAAAGCTCCAAGACTTACAGAGGGGAAGTTTCTTGCCTGATAGAGGGGAGGATTCCTGACTCAGCAGATGATCAGGAAAGGCCTCCTGGTGCCAGGCTCGGTGCCCAGTGCTCTACAGACTGTCTCTCACTTATTCCTCATAATGATCCTATAATGACCTATGGATGGATCCTGTAATGACCAACCCCATTTTGCCATTGGGCAAACTGAGGCACAGAAAAAGTAAGTGTGCACAAGGTTATACAACTAGGAATTGGCAGAGCTGGGATTCAAGCCCGGGCAGTCTGGGTGCAGAGTATGCAACCTATGCCCTGCTGGCTGTCCCCCCGACCCACTTACGGTTTGAGGTCCTGGTCGATGAGGATGTCGTAGCCGTACAGCTCGAAGCAGTGCTTGTCACTGATGATCACCTTCTGCACACTCTGCAAGCTTTTGATGAAGATGTTGTCCATGTCCCTGAAGAGCGTTTCCACCGCCTGGGGCCCGTGTTTGGAAGCCAAGTACTGCCGGAAGCGCTGCAGCATCCACTTGCTGCCCTGTGTCCCGGGCAGCCAGGTCAAGAGAGGAGCCTCAGTTAACCAGGACCTGGCCTGCTAGGACCCTTACACAATTGCACTCAGTGCTTTCCTTAGACCTGGGCAAGAGGAGCCCAGCCCTGAGCCCTGTAATTAGGATGACCCCAGGTGTGCCCTTCTTTGAGAGGCAAAAATTATTCATGTCTAAGAGGACTAGCTATGCAGGACTCCAGAAGTCCCTGCCCACATGATGTGCAGAGGCTCCTTCCCTGAGCCTGACTTGCTGAGGACAGACCACACTGACCATGTGTGCATCCCAAGGCCAAGGAGTGACCAACAGGCTGCTGTTTTCAGGGGTATATATGTGCAAGGGCCTCACCGTGTGGGACAGAGCCAGGGAAGGGAAGAGAAGGGAACAGCTGTGAACTGGGGACCTGCTCTCCTGTGTCCCCTTGATCTGGCCCTTGACTCAGAAGTCTGAGAATTCTGTATTTGAACCTGGCCTTGCAGGTTATTTTACATCGAGAGAGACAAAATATATCTGTGTGATACATTACATGAATCAATTAATCCACTGACCAATAGAAGATATCTGTCAAGGTAGGACAGGACATATTTTGTTTAGGGGTGTGTTAGTGTGATTTGTAACTTTTAGATACTTAGATACATGATATGTGGGCCACCATTTGTAGTCTTGCTCTGAGCCCTGCAAGTAGGACAGGCAGGCCTGCTTCACTGGCCAACTCAGGCTCAGACAGGCCTTCCTGGGCTCCTTGCCATGCCACCCTCCCTACCCCCACCTGGCCCCAGAGGGCTGCACCTGAGCAGAGCGGAACCTGGCTTCCTCACCTTCTTTGGGTGGTAGTCAGGAGACGTTTTTTGCACAGCAACGTTGGTAAGGTGAACATCTGGCAGAGGGTGGTGGTCAAGGTCATACCTGAACTCAGTGTGAACAAAAAGGGTGAGCCCTGCCCCACGAAGTCCTCAGGACTGAACTGAGCCCTTGCCTGGGAATCAATGGGGAAAGCAGCAAAATAGCATCACAGTCATGTGTGTGGGCTGTGGAGTCAGATGGGCCTGGGTTCAAATCCTGCCTGCATTTTTCCTGGCTATGGGGTCCTAAAAAGCCATTTAACTTCCCTGGGCCTGTTTCCCCAGCTTTTAATGGGGATACATAGTAGCATATTGAACTCACAGGACTTTTCAAAAGGTTAAATACTGTACCTCTTCCAGTGCCTGGCATAGCTGATATTATACTATGATTTTTCTTTTCTTGTAACCCTTTCGTTTTGATTTTTTTTTTTTTTTTTTAAGAGACAGAGTCTCGCTCTGTCTCCCAGGCTGGAGTTCAGTGGCATGACGTGCTCACTGCAGTCTCCGCCCCCTGGGTTCAAGTGATTCTTCTGCCTCAGCCTCCCGAGTAGCTGGGATTACAGGCGCATGCCATTACACCCATCTAATTTGTGTATTTTTAGTAGAGACAGAGTTTCACCATGTTGGACAGGCTGGTTTTAAACTCCTGGCCTCAAGTGATCCGCCCACCTCGGCCTCCCAAAGTGCTGGGATTACAAGTGTGAGCCACTGCGCCCAGCTGATTTTTTTTTTTTTTAAAGAGGAGAGAAAACTTTCTAACAAGTAAAGGAACCAAATACAGAACAACCATCTCAGGACACACTAGGCTGTCTTTCACTAGAGGGGTCCAGGCTGGGCAGCCACTTTGTAGGAATATTGGCAAAGGGATCCAGCACTGGGATGGGGTCAGGGCGGCCTTGGAAGGCCCAGCCCTGAGATTCAGCCTCTCAGTACCGTCACCATCATCACCACCACCACCGACATCGGCAACACTTTTCAGCTTACGGAGCATGTTTACTGCATTATCTCGTATGTTCCCCAAATTATTCCCATCTCACAGATGAGACCTTGGAGGCTTAGAGAGGTGAAGTGACTGCCATTCAGAATACCGCTTCCTCAACATCTTACCCCACAGCTAAGCAGGATGGTTTCCACAAACCTCGTTGTGTCTGTCTGTCTGTTTTTTGTTTTTTTTTTTGAGAGGTAGTCTTGGTCTGTTGCCCAGGCTGGAGTGCAGTGGTGCAATCTCAGCTCACTGCAACCTCTGCCTCAAGAATTGCTCAAGCAATTCTCCTGCCTCGGCATCCCAAGTAGCTGGATTACAGGTGCCCACCACCAAGCCTGGCTAATTTTTGTATTTTTAGTAGAGACAGAGTTTCACCATGTTGGCAAAGCTGGTCTCGAACTCCTGACTTCAAGTGATCACCCGCCTTGGCCTCCCAGAGTCTGGGAATGACAGGTGTCGGCCACCACACCCAACACCAAACCTCATGAAATGGCCATAAGACATGACTTACTCCAGGACTTATTTGGGGCATTTCTCAGATGGGGAGGTAGAGGCTCTAGATCCCTGACTCCCAGTCTAATTCCCCTAAAAAGTATGTTTCTCCCAGTTTGTGGTGTGTTGAACAGAGCAGGGTGGTTTCGACCTCCCTGAGGAAGGTAAGTGTCCTCTTTAGCATCTTTTTCCTAGAAGTCTTTAGAGCTTTTCTTTCTTTTCTTTTTTTTTTTTTTTTTTTGAGATGGAGTCTCACTCTGTCACCCAGGATGGAGTGCAGTGGTGCAATCTCGGCTCACTGTAACCTCTGCTTCCCAGGTTCAAGCAGTTCTCCTGCCTCAGCCTCCCAAGTAGCTGGGATTACAGGAGTGTGCCACCACGCCAGCTTTTTTTTTTTTTTTTTTTAAAGAAATATGAAAGGGCAGGTGCACTGGCTCATGCCTGTAATCCCAGCACTTTGGGAGGCCAAGGCAGGTGGATCACCTGAGGTCAAGAGTTCAAGACCAGCCTGGCCAACATGATGAAATCCCATCTCTACTAAAAATGCCAAAAAAAAAAAAAGAAAAAAAAAATAGGTGTGGTGGCAGGCACCTATAATCCCAGCTACTCGGGAGGCTGAGGCAGGAAAATCGTTTGAACCCAGGAGGTGCAGGTTGAAGCGAGCCAAGATGGTGCCACTGCACTCCAGCCTGGGCAACAAGAGTGAAACTTTGTTTCAAAAAAAAAAAAAAAAAAGAAAAGGAAAAAGAAATATGAAGTAAGGATCCATGCAACAACATAGAAGAACCTTAGAAACAAGCTAAGTAAAAGAAGTCAGACACAAAGACTGCATAGTGTATGATTCCATTTCTATGACATGTTGAGAATAGGCAAATCCACAGAGACAGGAAGTGGCTGCAAAGGGCTGGGAGGGGAGTCCAGGGAGGAACAGGGATGACGGCTAATGGGTATGGAATTTCTTTAGGGAGATGATAAAAATGTTCTAAAATAGCTGGGCATGGTGGTTTACGCCTGTGGTACCCACTACTGAGGAGGCTGAAGTTAAAGGATCATTCGAGCCCCTGAGTCTGAACAATATAGTGAGACCTTGTCTCAAAAAAAGGAAATTTTCAGCTGGTTGCGGTGGCTCATGTCTGTAATCCCAGCATTTTGGGAGACTGAGGTGGGTGGATCACGAGGTCAGAAAATTAAGACCATCCGGGCCAACATGGTGAAACCCCATCTCTACTAAAAATACAAAAAAATAGCCAGGTATGGTGGCGGGCACCTGTAATCCCAGCTACTAGAGAGGGTGAGGCAGGAGAATCGCTTGAACCCAGGTGGTGGAGATTGCAGTGAGCCAAGATCATGCTGTTGCACTCCAGCCTGGGCAAGAAAAGTGACACTCCATCTCAAAAAAACATTAAAAAATTAGCTAGGCATGGTGGTGCGTGCCTGTGGTCCCAGTGACAAGGGAGGCTGAGGTGGGAGGATTACTTCAGCCCAGGAGATGGAGGCTGCAGTGAGCCGTGATTATGCCACTGCACTCCAGCCTGGGCAACACAGAAAGACTCTGTCTCAGGGAAGAAAAAAAAAAAGGAAAAGAGAATGCTGGGGCAAAGTGGGTTACTGGCTGAAGAGTGGAAATAGCTCTCTTCGGATGAAGGAAACATGGCTCCCAGAACTTCACACTTAACACACTGCTCCCACCTGCTGTAGAGGAGACAGAAGGCCTCCTTAGGAGCAGAGGAGAAGCAAAGGCTAAAAGAAAGGGATGGGAGATGGGTCAGCCAACCTCAGAGCCTCCTGTCTCTAGAGAGGAACCTGAAACCAGGTCTCAATGGACCAACGGTCAAGTAGCAGAGTACACATATGATCAGAATAAATCCACAGAGAAACAGCTGATTCACTGTGAAACCTTTAGGAGGAAAAGACTTTTCTTAGCTTAGAAATGATGGTAAAAAAAATCTCCCAATGGACAAGTAAGACGTGAAAATAAAAATGAACAGATGTCAAGACAAAAAGAATCAGTGACCACAGAAAAGATGTGTAGCACATGCAATAGTCTGATGTTTCTATCACATGAAAATCCCACATGAATTAACAATAAAAAGTATGACTGTTTATTTACTAAGGAAAAGACATGGACAAACATAAAAGAGAAAATAAAGCTGGTAGGACCCCATCTGGGGAAATGCTCAAAGCTCCTAGTAACAGAAGAGACACAATTTCAAAGGCATGCAAATGGAGGAAAATGAAAATTCGAAAAGATGCAAATTCTAAGGCAAAACTCTGCTTCCTCATCAAGTTGGTGACATTTAAAAAATCTTTTTGAAAAATTCAAAACTCACAGTATTTGCAGGAATCATATAAAGAATGTCCTTATCGTGTGGTGGCACACGCCTGTAGTCCCAACTACTGGGGAGGCTGAGGCAGGAGAAACGCTTGAACCTGGGAGGCAGAGGTTGCGGTGAGCCAAGGTCATGCCACTGCACTCCAGCCTGGGCAACAAGAGCAAAACGCCGTCTCAAAAAAAAAAAAAAGAAAAAGAAAAAAAAAAGAGAAAGAATGCCTCTGTCTGCTTCACTTAGATGTGGCCAATTGTTTCAGAAATGGCTGTTTAAAACAATCGTCCCCAGGACTGGGGAGCTGGGATGAAATGGACTGTGTCAATAGAGGGTAAAAATATTTTATTTTTATTTATTATGTTTTTGAGATGGAGTCTTGCTCTTTTGCCCAGGCTGGAGTACAGTGGCACAATCTCAGCTCACTGCAACCTCTGTCTCCCGGGTTCAAGCAACTCTCCTGCCTCAGCTTCCCAAGTAGCTGGGATTATAGGTGCTTACCACCACACCTGGCTAATTTTTGTATTTTTAGTAGAGATGGGGTTTCATCATATTGGCCAGGCTGGTCTCGAACTCCTGTCTTCAAGTGATCCACCTGTCTCGGCCTCCCAAAGAGTTAGGATTATGGGCATGAGCCACCACGCCAGCAATGGTAAAAATATAAAAGGACTCTTCCAGGAAGCAACCTGGCCAGATGGGCTTGACCCAGTATTTACACCTCTGTGACACCATCCAAGGGAAAAATCTTAAATACTGTAAAAGGTTTATGAAGAAATATGTTCCGGCCGGGCGCGGTGGCTCAAGCCTGTAATCTCAGCACTTTGGGAGGCCGAGGTGGGTGGATCACGAGGTCAAGAGATCAAGACCATCCTGGTCAACATGGTGAAACCCCGTCTCTACTAAAAATACAAAAAATTAGCTGGGCATGGTGGCACGCGCCTGTAATCCCAGCTACTCAGGAGGCTGAGGCAGGAGAATTGCCTGACCCCAGGAGAGGGAGGTTGCGGTGAGCTGAGATTGGGCCATTGCACTCCAGCCTGGGTAACAAGAGCGAAACTCCGTCTCAAAAAAAAAAAAAAAAAAAAAAAGAAATATGTTCCTTTGCAGCATTATATGTCATAGCAAGAAGCTGAATACTTCCCAAATGCCTGCAGCATGGGGGATTAGAAAACCAGGAAACCTACTCAGTGGAATATTTTTGTAATGGAAAAAAAAAAAAAAAAAGTCTACAAGGAAAATACTAGTGATCATGATTAGTGCAAGAAAAGATTATATTATACAGTGGGATCATTTATTTTTAAAAGGTAAATGACAACAAAAATCTTTACAAATAAACCTGGAAGGAAATACCCTAAAATAGTAAGTAGTTTTTGCTAGAAAATGTGCCTAGAGAAGGTTTCCTTTTTGTACTTTTCTGAATTTTCTGATTTGATTTTAATAAGCTATACCACTTGTATTATAAAAAATGTATCCTTTAGATGTTTTATTATTTTATTATTAGAGTAAGGCCTATCAGTTGTAGAAACAATTTGTAATAGATAATGCATAAAGTTGAAAATAAATGCTTCCTGACCTGATTCTAGTTCTCTGCAGTTTCCAGAGTTAATACATTACTGAGGCTGGGCCCAGTGGCTCATGCCTATAATCCCAGCACTTTGGAAGATAAAGGTGGGAGGATTCAAACTGTTGAATCGAGGTGTCACACTCTTGAGGTGAGGAGTTTGAGCCCAGCCTGGGCAGCATAGTGAGAACTCATTGCTACAAAAAATAACTTAGCCAGACATAGTGGTGTGTGCCTGTGGTCCCAGCTACTCAGGAGGCTGAGGTGGGAGGATCACTTGAGCCCAGGAGTTCAAGGCTGCAAAGAGCTGTGATCCCACCATCGTACTTTAGCAGGGGCAACAGAGAGGGAAGCTGTCAATCAGTCAGTCAGATAGATTAGTGAATCATGAACATTCTTTCATACTTCTTCCTAAACAGAAACGTACTTCCTTAAAGGCAAAAGTGGGAACGGGAATATATCAATTCTCCAGCTCACATTTTGTTTTTCACTTTTCATCGTAATCATCTATGTCATGGCTTCTCGATGTATCTCATTGCTTTTAACAGATGTATAAGATCACATAGATGCCTTATAATTCATTTCACCATCTCTCAAGGGAGATTTAAGGGATCAAGGGTAATGATTGTTCACTATTATATACAGTGTTTCAATGACTATTTCTATATTTACTGTATGAATAGACATACTATATGTAAACATATATTTGAATAATTATGTATAAACTATATATATTATATATAATAAAGTCAAATTTAAAATGTTTTTATTTTGTGATCCAAAATTATTTTAAAAGTTAGTATGTGGGCCGGGCGCGGTGGCTCAAGCCTGTAATCCCAGCACTTTGGGAGGCCAAGGCGGGTGGATCACGAGGTCAAGAGATCAAGACCATCCTGGTCAACATGGTGAAACTCTGTCTCTACTAAAAATAAAAAAATTAGCTGAGCATGGTGGCGCGTGCCTGTAATCCCAGCTACTCAGGAGGCTGAGGCAGGAGAATTGCCTGAACCCAGGAGGCGGAGGTTGCGGTGAGCCGAGATCGCGCCATTGCACTCCAGCCTGGGTAACATGAGTGAAACTCCGTCTCAAAAAAAAAAAAAAAAAAAGTTAGTATGTGATATCTAAAGTGAACATGAGAAAATATTAATCTGTTAAATCTGGATGGTGACTGCATGGGTTGTTATAGTCTTTCCTGCAGTTTTCTATTTATAGAAAATTATTTTTATTAATATTTCAAGATTAAAAATTTTAAACAATATAAAAGAAGAGGTGGAAAATGATGTGTATTTACTCACTGTGAAAACAGTAAAGCCTCATTAACTAGAAACTAGCCCCAGGAGAGGGCTTTGTTTGCTTAAAAAGTCCCCATGATGCCCAGAGCAGTGCAAACATTTTTAGGTGGGAGAGGAGGACCACTAATATTTTCTGAGAGGTCACTCTGGGCCAGCCACTGTTCTAAGTGCTTTACATATATTATTTAACTTTAGTAAACAACTAGGTGGCAATTAAACTAAACTCAGTGACTTGCAGATGATAAATGCTTGTTAGATTTACAAAATAAAATAAATGTAATGGAAGTGCTGACGTTGGCAAAATAGAAAAAAACAAGTTGCAAAAAATACTCAGAAAGGTCTAATCCCAGATGCACATGCAAATGCATCACCCTGGACACGCACTCAACTGAATGAGGAAATTAACGCAGACAGATGCAAATGACCTAAAAGCACTGGCTTGGTTGCCCATGCCCCAAGCAGGGCAGCATCACCCCCATTTCCATCTTTCCCATGTGCAGGTCATCTGGTCCTGCCCATTTGCCTCCTAAATATTGCTCTTTTCTACCTCTTTTCTTCTCAGGCTCAGGACTAAAGATCTTAAAAACTTTCTTTGATATGTCTATTTTGACCAGATAATACATTCACATGGCTCAAAAATTAAAATGCACAAATGTATGTAAGGAAACATCTTTCTACCTCTGTCTCCACTCACATTTCTCTTCCCAAAGGCAACATCTATTTCCAGGTTTTTTGTTTTGTTTTGTTTTTTTGAGACAGGGTCTTGCTCTGTTGCCCAGGCTGGAGAGCAATGGCATGATCTCGGCTCACTGCAACCTCCGCCTCTAGAGTTCAGGGGATTCTCATGCTCAGTCTCCCAAGTAGCTGGGATTACAGGCAATGTGCCACCATGCCTGGTTAATTTTGTATTTTTAGTAGAAATGGGGTTTCACTATGTTGGTCAGGCAAACTCCTGACCTCAGGTGATCCACCTGCCTTGGCCTCCCAAACTGCTAGGATTACAGGTGTGAACTACCACACCCAGCTTCTTGTCTGTCCTTCCAGAGATGTCTATGTACAGAGAAGCAAACATATATAGAGAGAGAGATATAATTTTTTTTTTGAGACAGGGTCTTGCTCTGTCACCCAAGTTGGCATGCAGGGGCAAAATCACAGCTCATTGCAGCCTCAAATTCTTGGGTTCAAGCGATCCTCCCACCTCAGCCTCCTGAGTAGCTGGGACTACAGGCACGTGATATCGCATCTGGCAATATCACTTTTATTTTTTTCATAGAGACAGGATCTCACTATGTTGCCCAGGCTGGTCTTGAACTCCTGACCTCAAGTGATCCTTCTGCCTCAGCCTCCAAAGTGCTAGGATTACAGGTGTGAGCCACCACATCTGGCCAGATATGATTTTTAACAGGAACAAGAACATATTTTCACACTGTTCTAGACATAATTTTTTTTCCCAATTAACAATACATCTTGGCAATTATTTCATATCAGTACATAAAGCACTTTCCCCATTCCTTTTTAAGAGCTGCATAGTATTCCACTGTATAAAGGAGCCATTCATTTCATTGTTCCCTATTTTTTGCTCTCACAAACAAGGCTGTGCAGTGAATAACCTTGAAGCCTGTCTTGTTCTACACTGCAAATGTACTTGTAAGATGATAAAATCCCAGAAGGGGAATTGCTGGGTCACAGGGTTGTGTGCATTTGTCTTTTAACAGATCTTTGCTAGACTGTCTTCAAAGGAGTCACACCAATCAGTGTACAGTCCCACCAGCAACATATGTATTCTCCCAGCCTCACCAAGACAGCATGTTATCAAACTTTTGGTCTCTGCCAATCGGATTAGTGAAAATAGCATTGTACTTGAATGAATGAGTGGGCCAATGACTAGGCACTGAAGAAGAGGCACATAAAAGGATGCAAATGGGTCGGGTGCGGTGGTTCACACCTGTAATCCCAGCACTTTGGGAAGCTGAGGCAGGTGGATTACCTGAGGTCAAGAGTTCAAGACCAGCCTGACCAACATGGAGAAACCCCA